AAGAATACAGACTGTCACAAGAAAATACAACAGGAACAAAAGCATCATGAAATAGTTACATTCTAAGCTCAGAACTATTTTGTCTACTGTACTTCTTAGTGTTTGCATGCCATTCAAAAACTGACTCATAAAGTACCAAAGACTGGCTCCTCCTAGGAACAAGGGAACAGAGCAATGAAAATAAACAGCACTCTCTGGACAGAAGCTACTAGATCTTCTATTTGGACTATAAAGAAGAGCGTAAACAAAAACCTGTGTCATTCTCTACTATACTATACTGGGAGAATGGAAAGGAGATTCTTGTTTTCCTTAGCCAAAATCTCAAGTAATTAGTTTCTCCAACAAATTACTCCTTTAAAGTGAAAGGAGTATTCTTCTCTTGGAAGGAAGGCCAAAAGCAGCCAGAAATCCACACAAGCCATCAACCATTAAAGCCTTCACTGATGCTGGGAAGGTGGCACAAAGACAACCATAAGAATGTTCACATAAACTTATCTTTAAGTGTGTAGCCAAACGGGTTTTCAACTGGTATTTTATTAAATACTTTCAAGAAAAGGGAGACAAGGAACCTCCTGCCAGGCACATTCCTTCAAGAGTTCACAGCTGGTGACTCCTTGAGTAAGGACTTTTCAGCTCAACTACCCCTACAAATACAGAGCATTATGCTTCAAAAATCATGTTTATTCAGGTGAACTTAATGAGACTTAGGTTTCTCCTAAAGAAAAGAAACATTTATTCCACAAGCAGAACACCAGCTTTCTATTTAATGTCCTCTCAATTAAGTGGTCCAAATCCCCATGGTCATTTCACTTACAGAAATAGCTCTGCCCAAGGAAAAGGCAAAGCAAGATCCCCAGGGGCTTGGAATTCTGACTCCTACAATCTTCTGTGAGTAAATTATTAAACCCTGACTGTCACTTTTGTTGAGGTTGTACCTAATTACAACATGAAACCAGTGAAATGTAGAGCAGTCTCTATTCTCTCCTAGCAACAAAGCCAGCAGTTAATAATGGCACGTGGTATGCTTAACCCAGACCAGGTAACAAAACTCAAAGTTCCCTGAAAATAATTTGCATCACACTTCACACCACAAACTGCACTTGTTTTATAGTCTTTTGAATTAAAAACGGGAAAGAACATGAAATTTTCTGAACTGACGCTCTAGAACTGATTGTGGGCTTTTATTTCCAGTCCAGCATTTTTTACATTTTTAAAAGATTGAAAGGGGAAGTCATTAAAGAGACAGAAACAGTGCAATGTAATTTCCATCTCAAACTGTGACTCAGCAAGATACCACTGCTAGATTTAGGTTCTTTTTCTTTTTTTTGCCTCAGATTTCACATAAGAATCTGACTTTTCACAAAGTCAGAAAGGAGCAAAAGCGACCACAGACTCCTATTACAATAACACAGGCAGCTAAGAGTTCAAACATCCCAGAGATTATACGTTTTCAAGAGCTCTAGAAGTAAGTGTAAATGTTCTTGGAGTAGTCTACAACAACTTCTCTAAGCACATCAGCAAATCCACTTAGAAGAGAATTCATCCCATGGCTCAATTACAATACAATCAACAGTTTTATTTCGGAGATCACTCAACTGTGCCTCAGTGACAAAACACGAGTCTGGAGCTATCCCAGTGCAAGTCTGGTTGCAGAATGTTTTCACACATACAAAGTCATAATTATGTTAAGTCAGGGCATTTGTCCCCCCTACAGATGCCACATTAACAGTGTTTAAAAAAGCAGAAGATAAAAATAATGGTTCTCTATAAAAAATGGTCATTTTTTTGTAACCTAAAATCTAAGTAATAAGAGATGGGAGAAGAACTTATTAGAAACCGAAGCAACAATTCAAACAAGGTTCAACTTTAAGACACCTCTTTGCAATTGCAGTTACCAAGTGAATTTCAATTTGTATTTGGAAATTTCAGTCACAAGTTGTTGCTACATTTTCTCTCTTGACACTGCTGTCTACCTGGTAGGAAGTGAGGTGATTCCTTCTTCATTCACACTAAAACTGCAAAAGATTTTTTCTGTTGAATCTGTACTCCAGTGAGTAAATATAAACAACATTTATAAAACATTTACAGATTTATCTCACTTGGGACAGATTTCTTGATTATAATGTTTAGCATTGAAAAAGGTGAAGCAAACAGGATACTAAGCCAATTCTCTTTTATCTAAGGATAAGATTTGCTGAATTACAAGTCCTACAAAACAAAGTTTTTTAATTTGAAGGCACTCAATGGTGGCAAAACAAAAACACCCAAGGACTAACAGAGATGACGATAGGCTTTAAAAAGCAATTTTAAACTTCTGTCTTCGCTGGATTACAAGTATAGCTAAAATAATAAGCGAAGTATTTTGTCCTTTTTTCCTCAAAATTATAATTATGGTGCACCTATACAAGACACTCAAGCCCAGCACTCAAGCCTCTGAGATTCCTGTCAATCTCAACTACACTAAGGTTTTTCAAATATGGAAAGGGCTTTTGGCTGGACACCAATATTACTTTTGAAACTAGTTTTAAACCTTTCTCAGTCTGGCTCATAATATTTTGAAAATTGAGCTTATTGACAACAGGCTCTTTTTATTCATTAACTTTTGAAGACACTGAGGAAGTATCCCAGAGTTCCTGAGTTCACAAGCTGAAAGCCACTAAGTCATGCACGTCCAGACCCCGAGGAAGCATCCAAATGACTGTAGGACCTCTGTAGCTGACATCCAGTTTTGCAGTCCCTGTAGACTCAGTCAAGATTTTTGCACCCTGAAAATTATCATCTTCATACATGACATCTGCAAGTCAGAAGTTGAAGCACATTGGGAACGCAGCATGTGGGAAGCTTTAAGTATTCCTGTATATGGTGTAATTAGTGTACAAAAAGGTGAAGTCCATTGTTCCCCAAAATTCTAAAATACATACTACCATAAGATCCAAGTTTTCTTCTCAACATTTTAAAAGTTTACAATAGTTTAGAATTACTTTTACCTGAATGTTTCTACTGCATTCAACATTAGTAATTTCATGTTAAGTCTCAAAATGGACTTTCCCAAAGGAAGAAAGTATAGCACTTATCAAAACTATGAAATAGCACTACAAGTTTTATAATCTTCTAAAGCATTAGGATTGTTGTGCCTTGTCTCCCTGAAAGTCAATCAAACTCTAAAATAAAATGAACTTGAGCAATTTCAGTTGCAGCCACCTCAAATGGAAGACAGATTAACACAGTTTTCAGAGATGGCCTAAATCCAAGATCTTTCCTCTTTATCTCTCATCATGTAACCCACAGCACACTTACAAAACTGTATGCATTTATTTTGGTTTGTACCCTTCACCTCTATCCACCAGAAATAAAATTCTTTTTATATCTTTATGTGTATTTTACATATTGCCCAACAGTAAAGGTATTCCACCTCTGGTGGGGAGGTGGGAAATGGTAAAAAAAGGAAAAATTCTGCTAATCAGTTCTCATGTACAGCTTTTCTAAGCTTTCCAGTGTAGTATCTTCATTGCTATGAACAGTCACTTATTGCATACCACATTTACTTTTCCTATAAAACACACTGTTTGGAAAACTGACAATTATTTTACCAAACGAGTTCTAGTGACTAGATTAGTGATTTAGGGATCATTTTACTATCTCCATCTCAGAAATAGAAGATCCTTCCTAAGAATACAGACTTTTGTCTTCCTGCAATTTACTACAACACCGATGAACCTTGTAAGTTCAGAGCTGGACCCCTAAAATAACAAACCTCAATGATCTATTTTAAAACTATGCATTTTTATTTAAGTTCGTGTATTCTAGTTCTGTTACTTTAACCATGGAGACTAAAAAAGTTAAGAAATTGATTGTTTGTTTAATAAACTGGGATGGGAGAGAAGCAGCTGTCACATGAACTGCCATTATTGCTATGCTATTTCTGTGGGGGACCCATAAAAGTACACAAAACAAATTTCTTACCAGAAAGAAATTATACCAGTAGAACTGTTATCAGAAAAACAGCATTATTTCCTGTAGCTTCAACTCTTAACTTAAACATCTAATACCTATGCAAGAAAGCTTACGTGTATCTGGTCATCAGTTTTTCAAAAATTGTTTCCAGAACTGGTACACAACCCTCAGTCTTTAAAGTCTGCATAAAGAAGTAATCTTCTACTGTTTCATAGCATATTTGGTGCACCCAAGCGGTTACAGGACCTCTTCTCTTTTGCTGCTTTTCACTCTCAACTAAAATTACAAAATCTAATAATGTATGTATTAAATAAATATTATTTCTCTTCTACACCGTGTTCCTTATAATATAACTACTAGAAGTGTAGGTGTCTCTCTTTACTTGCTTCACTTCTCCCTATCCAAACATCTGAGGCACAAGATATAGCTTTTCCTGTGTTTTTTACAATCACACTGATTCTGTCAAAACCCGTTTTCGCTGCCTGCCTGTATCCTCACATTTCATTTCAAATAATTTTGGGTTTGAGCTAGTCAAGAGCCACAGGCACAAACTCTCCAAAATCTCTTCTCCACAGTTCACAGCTGCTTTTCCTATTACATCAGCTAAATTCCTTTCAGTTATTTCTCCTTTTTCCCTTGCAAAGGCACACGGATTATGTCATCACATAGCCCAAGAGTTTCATGAGGGACAGAACGGCTCAATAACATCGCGAAAACGCTTCACAGCAGCGCCTAGAAACGAAGAGTGGACCGAGACCCCACAAAACCGGTTTAATGTACAATTATTTAGACGATGCACAACAGACAGTGTTGAAGAGTGAAGCACACAAAACACAACAACACATAAATCAGCAGGACGGCGGCCGCCCGAAGCGGGACACGAGTGTTACGGGGGCAGCGCCGACCCGCGTGGCCGTCGCGGTGCGGCTCCGCCCGCCCGGGCCCCGCTGCGGCCACTCATCCCGGCACCGGGCGCTGCCGCTGGGGGCTGCCATGCGAGGTAGCCCCGGCCCAGGCCGTTTTGCCGCCTCCCCGGGCCCCCTCACCTGTGGCCGGCGGGACCCCCAGGTCGCGCCGCTCCCTCCATCGCGGCCCCGCCGTTGCTATGGGCCCCCGCCCGCCGCTGCCCTTAACAACGGCGCGCGGCACTGAGGCGTGCCGCCATTGGCCCGGACCGCGAGGACGCCGCCCGCCCATTGGCCGCGGAGCCACGCACGCGCAGAGGAGCAATGGTCGCCTCCCCTACCGCCGTCTGCGCTGCAGTCGCGGGAGGAGCCTCGGCGCGGAGCCCCGGGAATCACGGGGCTCCCTCAGGGACACTCCCCACGACAGAGACACTTTTCCCCAAGGAAGCCCGGCCCAACAGACCCCCGTCGCCAAGGCGCTCCCGCCCCACCCATGTCCTCAGCCCCCGGTGCCATCGGGCGTGTCCTCGCACGCAGCTGAAGTGCCGCTCCCGCCGGGTCAGGCGCTGGCCTGTCTCTTCGAGAGCTCGAAGTTTGCCTTCACCAGGATGTCGGCAGCGCTCAGCTTCCCTCGCTCCCGCAGGTACTTCATGACGTGAGGTCGCCGTCTCCAAGTGACCTTTACTCCATACTCATGTTCGGGAGTATCTGTAACCAGCACTGCTGCCGACTTCCCTCTCTCACAGGGATCAATACCAAATGCCAGCTCTTTTTCTGGATGCCAGGTGTCACTACTCTGTGACAGAGTGTTGCTGCATCTCCAGTTCCTTAGGGAAGGCACCTGAGGAGCCTCTGCATCTGGTAGACTAAAAGCTTCTCGCTCCACAGGCTGGAGAGCAGGTTCTCTACAGTTCTCTGGACCCTGCACTTGGATATTGGCATTTGCTGCTGTCCCTTTCTTGAGCTGGCTGTGAGAACACTGTGTGTCCTTCCTTGAGTGCTTTGGATGATCCAAGGGGTGGCCTGCATGTCCTTCTGGATTCTCAAAAGTTAAAGGAGGAAACTTGCAGGCTGCAGCTCTTCGACAAGGTCCTCCTGCATGAAGCAAACTGTGGTTGGCATCCTGATTCTGGGGCTTGTGAGGACCACGGTGCTTCTTCTGGCACGCTTTCAACACCACTGGCTTAGTTGTTTCAAATTGTGGGCACACCTGAAAGAAAAGACATAATAGTAAGATAAAAACCCAGCCATTTTCTCCAGACAAGTAATGCCAACCTGATTCTGCTTCGCCACCTGTCCCATCTTTTTTGGTGTATTCACTAAGTGAGTAAGCTGGTCTGCTGCAAAGGGAGTCACTAACAAAGTTGCTATGCAGGAGATGCCTCATGAACATCACATTCTGCCACTCTCCTCAGAAAACTCATTGGGGCGCAAGTGAGCTATTCTCTTGCAACTTGAGAAAGAACTCAAGATTTGGGTTTAAAGGAAATCTAACTGTTGGCTACATTTAAAACAGTTCAGAAATGGATCCTTTTTATTTCTGTGTCTTAGCATAACTCCAAATAGATTCAGTGAACTAAATCCTCAGTCTCCTTGAACAGGTAGAGGTTGAATTGAGAGAGTGATTAAAGGATGCCCACTTAGCTGAGTGGCCTTAGATTATGTTAATACAGTATTCAGAATTTTCCCCCAAAACATCCAGATCGCCCAAAATCCACTTTTAAAATCAGCTTTCTGTAAGAAATGGTCCAAGCTCAACAATCTACGTTTCTTTGAAAGATTCTGGACTCTTACTCAAACCCTGGAAATCCTTTTTTTTGCTGTGTTCTTTATCTTCCTGGTTATCAACAAAAAGAGTCAGATTCTGTTTCAAATTGCAATTTTTTCCCCAAGGGACACCAAACTGGGTTCTCGCTACGGTAACTACAATCTCCTTCAGCATTCCAAAGTTACAACATAGTTCCTCAAAAAACTAAGTACAGTTGAATTAAGGATAACAGTTGTCTGCTGAACAACTGAACTGCTTGAATGCAAAGCCTGTGTGCAGGAAAAAGAAAGTGATTCCATGATAATTGTATCCTGGCACATACTCAACACAGGTCAATCACTGACTTTGAGGATATGACCTCCTGGCTTCAGAGAGCATGTATGGTAGGAGCCTAGCAGTCGAGAAGGTATGAAAAACTTAGATAACATCAAGAAGAGAGGAGCAGAAAATCAGTTCTCACTCCAGCAGGTTGACACACACTCTGCAGAGGATGCCTCCAGAAGTTACAAACCTACCTCAGTTTTCAAACTGAAAAATATCTTAACATTTTAAGCACTTCAAACAAATTTTAAAATCATTGTATGTTTAGAATCAAAGAGCTACCAATGTGGATATTTCCAACTCTTCCAAACAAAAAGAATGCTTATTCACAGCAGTTATTTTACTTAGTATTTCAGAAGCCACAAAGCTAACTGCCTCAAGCACATACAAAAAAAAAGTTAAAGGGAAAAGATGGAACGTGTTCTACTTCAAGATTAAGGCATCACAAAAATAACTTCAGGTCACCAGGAACAAAGGAATGTCTCACGCAGGTTTGAAACCACACTTCCTGAGCTTCCTTTGTGAAGAGCAGAGTTGAGCAGCAGCAATGCTTAAACAGTGCTGAAATGCTTAAAAGAGCTCCCCTAGGTGATGACTGCTGTTGTATAGGAACAGTCTGTCATTGCAGCACCTGTTTAAAGAAACCCTATCCTTCCATGATAGAAGGAACATCTTAGGAAAATGCAAGCAGTCCCAGAACAGGAGCCCATCAGACCAGAAAAGGGGCCCATAAGAAGATTGATATAGAGAGAAACTATTCAAAAGACAGAATAGAAAAGAGGACAGGTTAGAACAAATAATCCTGAAGTGAAAACCTATGTCCTCTAAGTTTAGCAGTGTCAAATTTAAGCAAAGCAACTAGTACTTTAACATGTAACATATAGAGTTCAGCAGTTATTTCGAGCAGTAAGCCAATAAAATTCCCCTTCATATTTATTATGTGCAGGGTTTTCAGTTGCCATAGAAAACAGCATCTTCCTGATAAGAATTATTTCTCCAGAAATAGTCATATTAACCAGTACAGACTGCACACAGTTTTACACCTTCAAATAACCAAGTGGTTGCTGTTAGACTGTGAAGCAACTCATAAGCACTTATTTATGTTTTATGCTGCTACAATGAATTCAAATCTGGGCTACTAATTTTTCAGTAACCAGAACAGATAACTTTCTGTTGAGACATATGGGAAAAACTTGAAAATCGTGGCTGTGGGACGCAGGGGGAAGGATAATCTTTACCAACCCAGGCAGCAGAGGTGCTCCGGTCTACAGGTTTAGTAGGCACACGTCTGGGATTCTGGGCCAAAGGCAGTGGAGTTTCATAGCAATGGATGGGTCCTGCCCACGGCTTCTCAAGGAATACCAGCTCTGCCTTCTTGGCCTTGTGGGTACATTTCTTCTTTGGAGGCATCAAGAGGTATGGTAAAACCACTTAGAAACCTCATGATGCGTGTTAGAGCCAGCTGGAGAAAGAGGGAAGCACCCCAAGGAGATGCTGAAGTGCTCTCGATTCTGTAGAAGGCAAATAAATGTATTTGGAGATAGACTTGTTTGGAAACCTGAGATCTAGTTTTTAACAAAAGCAAAACATTGAGCATACAAGTCTCTAGGCAGACTTCTTCCTACCAGTAGTTTTTGAACCTTCTGTTGATTTCCAGGTAGATTTAGAAAAGCACAGCAGGAGTTGGAGCAGTTGACCTACTGATCCAGCTATATCAAATCAGCTGTCAAAAAAAAAAAGTCAGAAAAACTTGCTTTCGCTTTTCAGTTTTATTTGGTTTGTAATGCCAAAAATATACTGTAGAGCCAAGGTAACCAGAAGTCTTTACATTTCTAGTTGCTAACTACCTTTTTAATTAAATACCTTTTAATTTCAGGAATTTTTAAGTTTTTTAGTTTGTTTTTGTTACAGGACAGAGTTGACATTTCCCTCCTGTATTCTACAGATCTTGCTTTTTTTTTTTTTACCTAATGAATAAATTTGAATTGAAGTAACATTGAATTTACTTTTCCACTGAAAAACAGATCACAGAATCAATTAGGTTGGAAAAGACCTCTGAGATCATCAAGTCCAGCCTGTGACCAAACACCACCATGTCAACTAGACCATGGCACTAAGTGCCACATCCAGTCTTTCCTTAAACACCTCCAGGGATGGCGGCTGGAGCAGCCCATTCTGGAGCCCATTCTAGTGTCTAATCACCCTTTCTGTGAATAAATTCTTCCTAATGTCCAACTGAAACCTCCCAAGGCACAGCTTAAGGCTATGTCCTCTGGTCCTGCCACTTGTAACTGAGGAGGAGGCCAACCCCCGCCTGGCTACAACCTCTTTCAGGTAGTTGTAGAGTGCAAGAAGGTACCCCCTGAGCCTCCTTTTCTCCAGGCTTAACACCCCCAGCTATCTCAGCTCTTCTTCATAGAACTTACTCTCTAGACCCTTCACCAGCTCCGTTGCCCTTCTCTAGACATACTCCAGCACCTCAGTGTCATTCTTGAATTGAGGGGCCCAGAACTGGACACAGCACTCGAGGTGTGGCCTCACCAGTGCCAAATACAGGGAGACGATCACTGCCCTGGTCCTGCTGGCCACGCTATTCCTGATACAGGCCAGGATGCCAGTGTTCTTCTCGGCCACCTGGGCACACTGATGGCTCACGTTCAGCCAGCCTGAATCACCATGGGCGAGCTCAGAAGAGGAACTCCAAGAAGAACATTTTAGGAGAGATGTATAAGAATGCAACATCCTGACTGCTTACCAGAGGCGCAGCCTCCTCAGGGCGTCCTGCGGGCCCCCGCAACCCGGTATAGCCGTGACACACGTTAAACGGCGAAACTCCGCGGCTCTTCACCAGGGGCCAACGCACGGCCGGCGAGCCGGGCACAGAGCAGGGCTTCCGGGCGGCGCGGCTGGAGGGAGCTCCGGGGACTGCCTCAGGCGGGACGGGACGGGACGGGACGGGACGGGACGGGACGGGACGGGACGGGACGGGACGGGACGGGACGGGACGGGACGGGACGGGACGGG